AGAGAGAGAGAGAGAGAGAGAGTGAGGACTCACTTTTTCAAAGAGTAAGTTTTCATAAATTTATTTCCCTCAATAACTTATATTTTACATGAGATTTTAGTGATCCATCAATTGAATTAAAATTTGTTAATGTATTAACCAAATTTGTAAGTTTTTTTAAAATTTAAAATTATTTAATATTTTTGTTATATAAATTTAAATTAATGTATAAAATATTTTTATAATTATCCGTCAATTTGAATTGAAAAAATATAAAATAGTTTATAATTTTTTAAAACTTTACAGAATTAATTTATGTATTAAAATTTTTTAATTTTATTATTGAATGATTCAAATTTGATATAAATCATATTATTCATTGAGTTAATCATCCATACACTGTCAACATAAAGTTTTTTACACTGGCAATAATCATATATTAAAATTGTTTATTTTATTATTATTTTATTAAATAAACAACTAACAGATACTATCAAAATATATGATTAGTTATCAATAAAAAAATTTTATACTGACAATATATAGGTAATTAACTCTTATTCATTTGCGGAGAAGGAAATAAGTTTATGGTAGAGTGAAATTTTGAGGTATCATCTATTTGAATTATCACCTTCACGTCCACATTGGTTAAACTTTGAGTATAAGAATAAAAAGAAAATAAAAGTGACACCGAGGACATGCTGAAGTACTTTTTTGTCTTTGTTGTTGAGGAAGATGCTCAAGCACTTGAAAGCGAAAGTTACGTTCTTTCTCAAAACTACAGAAAGGAATAATCAGTGAATGAAAGTATAGTAGTGTCAACTTCACCATTAATATTATTATAATATGATTTATGACGTATAATATGATGAAATTTCATCTAATTAAACATTTTACTTTTTCATCTTTTCTATAAGTATTATACATTGACCTAATTTGAATAAACTTTTTTAATTATATGTTTTTGTTAAGAACTTTATCCAAATTAAATGATTTTATAAAGAGTTAATCATTTATATACTGTTAGTATAAAGTTTTTTTATACTGATAGCCAATTATATTTTTTAATGATGTTATGTCATTTATTTATTTAATAAAATAAAAATAAAAAAATAATTTAAAATATATAATTGATTATTAGTGTAAAAATTTTTACACTTGCCGCGTATAGTTAATTAACTATTTTATAAATCCTACTATTAATAGAAGAGATGTTTTTTTTTTTTTTTTTTTTCTGTGGAAAAAGCATCAAAAGAAGGAGATGACAAAGTGGGCTTGGGCCGTCGAAGTAGAGAAGCGAGCCGGTCCATAATGAATCTAATCCAGCGTGACAAAATGAAATGAAATGGACGAACGTTCGCAATCGAGGAAGCACAGAAGCGAAGAGGGAAAAGAAGAAGGAGGAAAGCAGAAGTAGTTGGGTGTGGCAATTGGTTGCGCGAGCGAGCGAGCGAGAGAGAAAGAAATGGACGACTACACGAGGGAAATGATGGACCTGAAGACACTCGTCACTCGCACTCTCGAGAAGAAAGGCGTCCTCGCCAGGATCCGCGTACGTTAATTCCCCTTCCCTAGGGTTTCATAGATCCATTCATTTCGCATGCGCAACGCAACTTAGGGTTTTTCTTCCATTTTTGTCGCAGGCCGAACTCAGAGCGAGTGTGTTCGAAGCCATCGAAGAGGAGGATCGCGTCATCGAGAAGGACCAAGGTCTACCTCCTGCATTGCTCGGCAGCTGCAACGATCGAGCTAAACAGCTTCACGCTTCTCCTCCAGGTGCCTTTCTTCTCTCGATCCCTACCTTACCTTCTTCCGCGTTTTCGATATTGCAATATTCTAACTCTCTTTCGTTTTGCTGTTACCTTTACTTGCATCATGTGAATATATTACCAGCTTCAATTGTGGTTATCGCTCGGTGTTTCCTTGCTGTTAATGTTTTCGATCTGATTTATCATTCGTTTGTGGAAAATGCCTGCACATTTTTTAGGCTATCATGCAATGAAATTGAATGCACCGGGCAGGGATATATTTCGTTTTATTTTATTTCTTTTTTGGAATTCGCTGTGCAGGGAGACTCCTTACGGCGATGATATGTGAATACCTTGACTGGGCGCAGCTCAATCATACGCTGAAAGTTTATCTTCCGGAATGTAATTTGGTAATTAATGAATCTGTGTGTGTGTGTGTGTTTTTTTTTTTTTCCTGTACTGTTTGTGTTCCTGTTGGTTTTTGTTGATTTTCACGGTGTTTGGCTGAATGGACTTTCTAGCAGGAGAAGGATTTTTGGAAGGGGGAGCTTAAAGAGTTTAGTGCCAAAAATGGATATGATCTCAACAGAAACAGGGATAGTCCTCTACTCCTGGATGTGCTCGAAGGATTTTTGAAGCTTGAGGTTTTTCGATTAGTTGCTTTCCTGATATCATTTTTTTCCTTTGTGCTTACTTTCTCTGGGGGTCTTTCTAGATAATGGTTTTGTACTTAATTGAGGGGTTTCGGATCCTAAAGTATAGGAATTGAGGTTGTGTGAGGTTGAACTTTTGCATGGTCCTTTTGTTGAAAATTGAAATTTTATAGTGTTCAAAAGCTAGTGTGCAGTTGCCGTATTTTATGACAGGTTGTGGACTATTCTCTTTGCACGCGTGTCCTGCAGTGCTTGTAGTACTTCAGCTGCGCTAGCTCTAAGCATTGTTGCAAGAGGAGCTAGGCAGAAATGTAGTGTTGTAGGGTCTTCAAGTTTGATTAATTTTGATTTTAGGAAATGTGGAAATGCTATTTTGAAAGTTGATACTTGTGAGACTTCATATTTGGAAAGGAAACTGTTGATTGTAGTTAAGGTTGAGGAGATAATGATATAGGCTATAGTCTAGATCTCACAATTATTAAAAATGACCTTGAAAATAAAGGCATCGTGGATGGAATGACTTATGTATTATAACCTGATTTTTTAGGTGATTCGAAATCCCTTGATTGAGTTGTGCTGTACTTTTGCACTTGCACATATGTGACTAAGAGAACAAGCTAATATGTAGCATGAAAACAAGAAGTGGGATGTTTGCTTAAAATGGTCTAGATAGTTGGCTACTTTTTGTTGATGATATTATAGTGGTTAACTTTACATTTGTCACGTGCAATGTAAAAAGTTATTGATTTGAAACCCTTGGTAGATCATATATTGTGTAATGCATAGTTAACACTGAACAGAACTGTTGCAAATGTGTACTGACTTTTGATTAATTGTGTTGTGAATATGCTTCTGTAGAATTTATCCCAAGCTAGGGCTAGTGGTAGGAGATTTACTGGTTCAGAAACCGAGCCTTTACCTAACTCAGAATCCCGTAGCACCCGAAGGCATTCTTCCTCATCTGTTGCTGGTGGCTTACCTCCCCTGGGAAGGTGCAATAGCTGATCTTATTTATGTACATGTTGGTCTAGTATTACCTTATTATTTTATTTATTGGCGTTCCTGCATCTTCTGGATCACATTTTTAGTAGACAATTTTTAAGTATTTCACCTGTTTGTTGCAGGGCTGTTCCTTCATCTCAGGCATCTGGTGGGTATTTTCTGTAATTGACTTTTACCTTGCATTATTTGCGTGCTTCAAATTTCCCTTAATTTACACTCTAGCTTTCAGATAGGAGAGGAGGATCCTCCATGTCTGCTTATAGGAAGGATGAGTACAATTGGCGATATGACGGTGATGAACTTCCTGAGGACATAATTCAAGCCTCAAGTGCTTTGGAAAATCTTCAATTGGACAGAAAAGCTCGGAATCTAACATCTTCTTGGCGGTTCGTTTTGATGCAACATTGATGTTATTATTTTTTTACTACTATGATACTATCAAAGCATTTATGTTTTAGATTTTATCGCCATCTCAATGGTTGATTCTGAAGGAATTCAAAACACTAATCTTTCCTGATTGTCTTTGTTTTGCAGACATGCTGGCGATGGAATCAGTGAGGATGATGGCAGGGTTGATCACGTGTAGAGGGGCAGACATTGCTTGCATAACCACAGTCTGCTCCTGTATTTTATTGTGTATTCTGAATTTTCTGTCTCGGGCGATAATTGTATGAGCCTAATTTTCTGTAAGATCATTTAATTGTGATGTGGTTTAGTGTTTTTTTATAAGCTATTTTCTCTCTAAAATTCCCCTCTTTGGCTTCGATGGTTTTAGTTTTTTAATGTGTTTGCAATCATAATTAGCATCAAATTAGTGCCACATTTTTCACAGGGAAGGTGTGGAAGCTACTCACAGTAGCGTCGCATCCACGTCCAATACGTCTTCCCAGTTAGGCTCTTCAATTGTTTCAATAGGCGCTTGATTCATGAATGTTGCCATTTCTCAGTTCTATTCCATTAATAAAGTAGTTATGATAGGGTGGTCGATTCTCTGTTCGGGGACACGCTAGTGCTGCTTGAATCCTATACTTTAATGCTTTCGGACAATCGTGCTTGGGAAATCATCATCCTCAGTGGAATCTTTCTTTCAGGAATAAATCTCGCTAGCAAAACCTCCTTTTCCAATTAGAACATGTCAATATGAAGGAAGCAAATATCAGAAATATGAAGTCACTTTTAAGATTTAACTTTAACGTGTTATCTTTTAAGTTTTATATACGGTTTTGATTTGGTACCTCATTTGTAAAACTAACGCATCCATAAAATCGTTCTTTGTATGAATCTACTTGAAGATTAATCTGAATTACTGACCAAACAATTGACTACAACTTGACTTCTGAAGTCTTGCTAATCGTCTAACAGTCATCCATTAAAATTACTCCATATTAATTTTTCGAAGGACTTTACATACGGAACTTGACACTAGAACCAAGAGTTCTTGCATTCGTCGCACCGAAAGTGTGGAGGTTTTTTACACTGCCATCTAATTAAAAATTATGTAGATAGCTTACAAATAGAGCTTCTAGTTAAATGTGCAAGGATCCAAGTTCAGCAACGGTAAAATTTTGATAAAAGATGATTATAGCAAATTTTTTATTAAAATTTAAAATTAGGTAATTGTAGTGGATAATTTTTTTGAGAGTAAGTAGTTTTCAAATTTCTGAGGGTAAAAATGTATACTTAAAAAAGGAAACAAAAATGTAATTACCAAAAGGTATCTCCTTTATTATACCTGTATAGATGTATAGATGATTAAAATTTAAATAGTTAAAATTTCATAAACTTTTAGCTACAAATAGACCACAAGGGTATAAGAAAACAAAAGTGATATTTATAAAAATTAAAATAAAATATTTTTATCTTTTAGTTTCTGTCATCTATTTGTTATAGAGAAGAAAAAAATATAAAACTTATAAAATTACGTGGACTAAAATAAAATAAAAATGACATGAAATTAAAATAGAACATTTTTTTATTATAAAGACTAAAAATAAAGTTCATGAAAATTTAAGAATCAAATGAATATTTAAACCCACAATTAACAATCAAGTAAATACTTTGTTTTTAATCAAATAAATACTTTAAGTTTATCAAATAATATCTATATAGAAAGAAAAAAAATCATTGTATGCAAGCGATACATACTGTTTCAGATCATATAAGATAACCTAACAAATGTCTTTTTATAAGCAGAACTGAATATATTAGTAAAACAAAACAACTCCTTGACCCCGACGTCTTGTATTGAAGTCTAAGATATTTTTAAAAATAGAAAGTGTGAAAGAGAGTGAGGTTTCGGAAACGCTGGGTTCGTTAGATTGTCTGAAGAGAAGGTCGCAATATACTAAATTAAGAAGATGAGAAAAAGTTGCCTAAAATGGTGGTTAGTTGAAGGTCAAAGTCCAAACCCCATCAAGGCAATAGAATTTAGAAAACAAAAACTGCCGACCAACCCCAAAAGCCAAAAGCCCTTTGGAAATTCCTTCCACCACCAAACCAAAACTACTCATCTTGTTCTTCTTCTCTAATTCCCCTTTTTATGGTTACAAACTACATGGAATAAGGAATGTAAAAATAGAAACAAACCATAACCTATTCCCCCAAATCTACAATCGAAGCTTCAACTTTCTGACACACCTTTTCATCAGAACTGTACCCAATCCTTAAATTCGTCAGTGGGTTCTTAAGGCATAAGGAATTATCAATATACTAAATTCCCCAATTCATCTATCTAAGGTATGATAAAAATAAAAATGTCTGCTGCATTTGTATGTGGTCCTTTTCTTTTCATTCTTGTTTTTTTTTTTTGGTAACCATGTTATTAATGTACCGACTTTGTTGATAATTATTCCATGCCTTGGAGACTGGCTGATCATCTTCGGTGGAGTTTCCCTTCCATATATATATATATAGACTCAATTTCGAGATTTTTGTTATGGGACAAAATCTAATTCTACTTGTAGCAAGGACTTGTTGATTATTATTCTTATGATCTACAAATTTATCACGTTTTTGTTAGTTTAGCATCTTGTTTGCAATTTTAAGAGCTGCCCGTGTTTCAATTTGATTATTTCCAGCAATAACTGTTGATGAAACCCCATTCTGGATTTGTTTGATAGATAGTTAATGATGGGGTTTCTAAATTAGTTCTGATCTCAAATGGTGGTGCAGGTTTTGGACACCACTGCAATAACGTCTTTGATGGTTTCCACTTTTACTTATTATGGTGTCAGTATTTCTTAATAGGCATTTGATTTCTGGAGCTTGTGACTTGGGCACAGTAACGTAGATGGTGTAGATAGGAAACTAGGCCTTTTGGTATTGTTATTGACATTTATTTAATGAATTATTTGTGGCTCAGTTGTATATGTGAGACTATGTAAGTGATGGTATCAGCTACAATTAGGCGAATTGTTTCACCCTGTTGGAGACCATCATCTTACACAGATGAGGTTTCTAGTGGGAATGGAGATGGAAGTGGGCGTGGTCGTGTTAATGGTTTGTTGTGGTCTAAAGATTTGGGAAGACATGCCAATGGTGAGTTCTCAATGGCAGTTATTCAAGCAAACAACTTGTTGGAGGATCAAAGCCAACTTGAATCTGGCCCCTTGAGCTCATCTGATGGAAGTTCTATAGGGACTTTTGTTGGTATATACGATGGCCATGGAGGTCCAGAAACTGCCCGGTTTGTCAATGAACGTCTGTTTAGACATATCAAGAGTAAGTTTTTCTTCTTTCTTCACCTCACAACATAAATTGCTATTTCTGGAAAATACTTTTGAAATTAAGCGCATCCTCAATTTAGTCCCTGAAATTGTAGTGATCAATCATATGCATAGTTAGATGTCACACAGAGCCAACTCGGTCTTTCTAACAACATTACATAACACTAGCTAACAGAGAGACTAAATTAATCGATGATTTATAATTTTAGACCATTTCGTTAATGTTGGGGACCAAATTGACCGAATCCCTATAATTTCAAGGGCCATATTAATGATTCACTTTGAAATTTCATGGTATGCACAACATGAATAGTTTGCTTCTGTTGGGTTTTCTTTTCACAAGTTCAAGTGCTGAACTATTATTTTAAGCAGCTATATTGCTCTTTACTGTAAATGGAATAAGGCTTCATGGGATCTTTGATAGAATTGTGTAATCCATGTAAACTGATCTTAATGGAACAATACTTGGTTTGTTTTCTTCTTTTAAGAACCATGTAAAACAGTAAAAAGAAGTTTTTAAGTTTGTATTCAAACAAACTTTATGAGTTTTATAACCGATTGATATTGTTTTATTGACCTATTGGTGGATCTTAATGCAGAATTTGCTGCGGCAAATCATGGAATGTCAGCTCATGTTATCAATGAAGCATTCTTTGCAACAGAAGAACAATTTCTTTCTCTGGTAGAGAGGCAGTGGCTGCACAAACCGCAGATAGCGTCAGTTGGAGCTTGCTGTCTGGTAGGCATAATATGTAATGGGGAGCTCTTTATTGCAAATGCAGGAGATTCTCGAGCAGTATTAGGTAGAGTGACTGAGGCTACGAAAGAGATTAAAGCTGTTCAACTATCCACAGAGCACAATGCTAGCCTCGAATGTGTTAGAGAGGAGTTGCGCTCATTGCATCCTGATGATCCGCAGATTGTGGTTTTGAAGCACCAGGTCTGGCGCGTGAAAGGTCTGATTCAGGTGACTATTTTTAATTTTAAAACTCTCCTCAAGTCCTTAAATTGTCAAAAAATCAACCATGTTTATCCTCAAGCAATTGAAAAGATGGTGTGGTATGATTGGCATTGACAAATAATCGTGTCTCTTAAATATGTGGTTAGAGGTTCAATCTTCATGTTCGCGTGCATGAAAAAATTTGTTAGGAAATATCAACATCTTAAATGAATCTCAATACCTTAAAGGATTAGTTTTTGACTTTTGACTAGGGATGCTCTGGACTTACCAAAAAACCATCAAAAAGTCAGTCACGTTAGTCTTTTCTTAGGGCCTAACATGACTGAATTCTTATAATTTTTAGGGCCTAAAAAGAGAGGAATTTGAAATCAATGGAAAAAGTTAGAGGACTAAAGTGACCGTTCTTTCACCTTCCCACCCTCCAAATTGAATCATTTTGTTCATTATAGGCTTATTCTGTTTCTTGTTAACACACTAACCTCATTTGAGGCTTCCAATTATGGTTATTTTGTTGTCCACATAGAAAACTCATGAATGTGTTTGTAGTTTGAATGAATGTATGATGATTTATGGCTCTAGAGTTCTTGTTTGCCTAGAGTTCATTATAGGCTTATTCTGTTTCTGGTTGTGGTAAGGCTGTGTATATCTACCCTTTTCAGAATCAGGCCCCACTAGGTGGGAGCCTCGTGCACTGAGCCAGGAAACTTTGGTGTTATATGTGACTGCTACCAGGAAACTTAAGTAGGAATTAACTAGTGTGCTAAGTGCTTCTTTGTATTCATTAGAGGAAATCATTAAAGGGTGTTTAATAGCATGATGAACTAAAGAGTTGTGTTAATCAAGTTGTTTATTTGCATTGCAGGTTTCAAGATCTCTTGGTGATGCCTATCTAAAGAGGGCCGAGTTTAATAAAGCACCTTTGTTGGCAAAATTTCGACTATCAGAACCCTTTGAGCAGCCAATCCTTAAAGCTGAACCAACAATACTAGTACAGAAACTCCTCCCTCAAGACCAGTTTCTTATATTTGCATCAGATGGATTATGGGAACACATCAGCAATCAAGAAGCAGTTGACATTGTCCAGAACTGTCCGCATAATGTAGGGTTCTAATCTAGTTGAGTTTTCTTTTGTGTATATAACTGTCACATGATGTTTGTTTCTTTGTTTTAACATTTGATGTTCATTGGACTGAAACATTGTATTAAGGTCTTTGTAATTGTTTGACATGGTTAAGGTTGATTTAGGTGACCATTTTTTTTGTATAAAAACTCTATTGAACACATGGTTCTGATACTGTTTATACAGGGAGTAGCCAAGAAACTTATCAAAACTGCACTTTGTGAAGCTGCCAAGAAAAGAGAAATGAGATACTCAGATTTGAAAAAGATTGACCGAGGTGTGAGGAGACATTTCCATGATGACATCACGGTTATAGTTTTGTTTCTTGATTCAACTTTTTTGACATGTGCCAATTCACGTGTGCCCTTGGTTTCGGTCAAAGGAGGTGGTGATGTTGGTTATGAAATTGGTATTATAGATGCATAGTTCAAGTGTTTTGGCTCATCAACCCATCTCATCTGACTCTTGAATTTGTTTTCCTGATGTAAATTTCCATCCACTAGTCCCTCTCATGGGATAATAGAATTAACAACAAATTTCTTCTTTCTCACACACACTTGTTTGGTTCTCACCAAGATTATTACGATTGAGGCTGGGCCTAATGATAGCAGATAAGTGATGTTTTCTTTTAAAGTTATTTGAGAAAATTGTATACGTTACCATTGTCACCGTAACTATTAGCACATCAAAACAACTTTGATTTGTCATGAGGGTTTAGAAACTTAATCCTCACCATGAGTTACACGAGCATTTAACTCACCTTGCGCACCTATTGTGAAGCTTTTTTTATTTTTTTAATTTTTATTTTTATTTTATTTTATTTATGTTTATTTTTTTAATTTTTTTTATCCATCGGATATTGTGAAGCTTATCAGTAAGGGAAAAAGATTGGAAAAGATTGTAATAAGATAAAAATTAAGAAACAAATAGTTGTTATTTCAACCAAAATAATAACAATGTTATTACTCAAAATTATCATTTTGTACTAAGAATTTTTATCTACATATTAAACATATTCTTTTGAGGAAATGCTAGAAATTTTCCCCAAATTTTCTAAACTTTGAAAATGACTATTATTGTAATGTTCTGATCATGCAGCTTAATTTGTTACTACTACACGCTAATGAGATTAATTGATGAATATCTATTGAGCTAGTTGCAATTATTGATTTTTATCTATAATTTTTTTTTGCATCTTTACACTGATTTGAACTCGTCAAAAATTTCCTGTAAACTTAGGGTGGATATAGCATATCCTCCCTTTTTTGAAATGCTTCAACCATTTTTATTTATGGTGAAAGGTTATGATATTCAATTGGCTATGACTAAGCTAACAGTATATGGGTCAATGAAGTTCATAGGATAATGACATTATCTAATTATTTAAGCACATACAACTTCTTGTGTTGTGGGAGAACATATTTAACCTTTTTTTTTTTTTTTTTGTAATACTTGAAGTTATTTATACTAATAATAAAATGAATTTCTTTATTTAGTGTCTACTTTTCTTTCCTATTTTACCCTTAATAACTATATGTCTGATAATTGTACAAACTATCGAGACACGTGAAGTTTTTTTTTTTTTTTCTACCACAAGTTGGATATAAGAAAAATTATGTACCGTCATTGCTGTTGGATCATTTCATGGTTTACATAATAAGTACCGCATAGCCTGTACCTAGGATCCAATTCCAGGTCAGGACTTAGAATGGCACAACAAAATAACCCGTTCGAGTAATTAGTTTTAGTTGAGACCAGCATTATCGTACCTGAATTATAAACAGTCAAATAAGTATATAGAATGTTAGAAAATGGGCAAGTGACGGTGGTAGCTTGCACGGTCTTTATTTACTCATGAACCTTACTTAAACTATATTCCTGAGGCAGAGCCAAGTAAATTGTTGATAGCGTATGTGCCACCAAATACATGTGCTATGCTGTGTGATTGGTTTTGCTCATCACATCCCACGTTATTTAATATATTCGATGCAGTATACGTACATCAGAAGTATTGCAAATTATTGTTATGAAATCTTAAATAATACAGTAATTAATTAGTCAGGTGCACAAAACTCGAGTCTCTTTTCTGTTCACATCGTAGTTGATGTGAGAGCACATGTAAAACAGCAATGCACATTAACCATGTGTATATTTTGAAATTTAACCAGTGTATTTATGCATCGTTAAATAATAGTAGTGTCAGAACAAATTTGATAGGTCAACTATCCTTCAATAATACCTGTAGTGAATTTTCTGGTCGCAATTTGCAAAGTTTCAGGGACTATAAATCGTAGTTAGCACCTAAAAAAAAAAAAATCACTGCTGTAACGTTATGGCTAGTGGCCCTTATTTTTTTCTCTCCTAGGATAGGATGATCGAGGACCAAAAACTTGTGCAGATAACAAACGGGAGTAGGAGAAATGGCACTGTGGTTAGAAATTGCGCAGGAAATTTTTTTTTACATTTACATGTCACTAAAAATGCAGCCGCCCTTTCATGACAAAGGTAAATGTTTGCAAGAATCGAACCCACGAGAGAAGTGGATGTATGTGAATACATGGAGCATCATGCATGTTACCTCAACAACACCTTCCATATTTTCTTCATATATACAACTAACGACCATATGGCAAGCCCTGCTGAAGTATAAAGCAAACCAACACCAGAGCCTACTACAATGGCAGCTCCTCCTCCATGGCTGAAAAGAAAATTGGGAAAAGAGAGTAAAATTCAATTAGTCAATGACAGAGCTTGAGTTCAAAATTTTGAGGGGGCAAAAATGAAGGCTTATTACATACAACTTGTCACAATTTCACACCTGAAGAATCTTTTTCCAATCACATAAGATTATGTATCACATATCTAAAGTTTGGATATAAATGTTACCTCCAGTCCCGGGTCGCAAGAAGGATGGTTAATGCTGTCATTTGTGAGGCTGTTTTCCACTTCCCCAAGTTATTTACAGCAACAGCCTATTATTTAAAGTTTCAGGATATAAGTTCAGGTTCACTATATAAGGCAGTTGAATCAAGTGTACAGGAAGTAAAACAAACCTCTAAAAGCTTGCTATCCTGGGAAGCAGCCCATTCCCTGACTGCAGACATGGTTATCTATTTTGCCAGTTTCAAGAGAAAACTATAAGAAAATTTATTTGGAAACTAATACAAAGCCATTAAATTAGACAAGGTATGATGCTGAATGCAAAAGGAGAGACAGGTGAAAATATCGATAGTTTACCACATAAATAAGAATCTCAAATAAGTTTTCATGGTTTGTGTTCAATAATATATACTGACAATGTGCTAAAGAATTTCAAGAATTTTACACACAATGGCACCAGAACAATGAGCATAATTAGGTAATTACATTCCACCTCCAGAGCTATAGGTAAGAATAATAAGTCATCTACTCTGTGTGAAACAAATAACAGCAGGAGATCCAAAATATGAATTCTCCTTTCATTCATTCATGTTTCACAATAGTTACATATTAAAGATTGGATCTGCACGATTTCCAGGAAAACAGATAATTTAACCAAGCCTCCACTTTGGCTCGTTAGCTTCATTCTATAATGCCAAAACTTCAGTTCCATAATAGAAGAAAAAACTCAAGTTTCCTACACATCTTACAAACTAAACATCATAGAACAAATAACAGCAGATATCAGAAAAAGAAATATTTAATTACTATGATGCAATTGAAATGCACGAGTTTGGTGATAACATGCAGGACCCTTGTTAGGTTCCCTAAAGAGCATACTGCGTGAAGAGTTAACGTAAAAAAATCGATGGAAGCTGAACTTGAATTAAGCAATGCACGCCCGTCTTAGAAATCACAGTATGCCTTACCTCTCTACCAATTATGGCAATCGCAGGTATAGTCAGCAGCCACGGTGCTTGTCCAAACACACCAACATCCAAAGGTCTCGTACACAATAAGACCAGTGTGGCAGCAACCATAAGCTGCATAAAGTAGAAATTATTATACATTCAGAAAAAAATACATAAGTTGTACTCACAGCACGTCACTAACCCAAAGAGACTTGAATTCATCAAATGTGTGTGTGATAGGGAGAGAGAAAATACCTTGTCAGCTACTGGATCTAAGAAAGCACCAAACGAAGATTTTAACTTCATCTGCATTTCGAAATAATGAAAATCAATAATTAATAATAATGGCAAGTCTTAAATACCACTGGAGACAAATTTGTTTTTGCTCTTTCAAATTAAAAATTGACTTTTTTAGTTCTGTAATTTTTTAAAAAAAAAATGTTAGTCCATTTGTTCAAATATCATTAGTAAATCTATCAAATAAAATTCATTTATTATTAAATTTATCGTACAAAATTTCCCTA